AAAAAAATCATTATGTTAAAAAAAAGGATCTACATTATAATTGTGTACAATTCAGGAGACATTTCCATTGACCGATATGATCTGTACAAGTTGACGATCATAAATTAAAACTTCACGATCACCCGGAAAAAATTTCTGCCGAAAAGTAATATGATACACACATTGTGCAACTGACCACTTTTTCACATATACACATGCAGGTCGTTTTTTTACTTTTTCTTGTATAACATTCCGCAGTCTACCAATAACATTCCACATATAACTCGAAAATGTCGGCCACTTCAACGCCAGCCTCCGCTTCTTCTAACAATGCAACAAAAGAAAAGCCCACTCCCACTTTGGCCGAAGTGGTTAGAAAGTTGAATACAGAAAAACTCATTGAATTTTTGCATGCAGAAGAAGACTTGCAACTTACCAATGCTCATTTCGAATCTTACACAATGAGGAGATCACCAGACGCACATTCCTCAAATTGATCAAGGAAGAACTTGAACGGCATGAATTGAAGTTTGGTCCTGCAACGGCTCTTGTGGCGATCGCTAAAGAAATCAAGAAGAAAAAATTGAGGGCATTTTCGTTGACCGCAGTCCAAGAGAAGTGTTATTAAAACATGGCCTCGATAGTGATGATATTGAATCCATCCCGCTATTCATCCTTCCAACCTACGAGATTCAAGACAATGATAAGCATTTTGCGCATTGTATGGCTGAGATCTTAGTCCGGCTGAGAGATTATGGGTCATTACTCGTTGGTAGTTTAGAAAGCATGCGAAATGAATACGTTGTGGCATTACTCCATTCTGCCCTCCACATCGTACTGGACGACACATAAAAAGAGTTTAGTATGAGACCGCAATATGAAATTACGAGAGAAAAAGTACAGGCCGAGCAATTAAGGTATATTTTTTCGTATGGTTAACATGCAAAAGCTAAATAATTTCTAATATTCATTTCCATGCTGATAATAGGAAACTGAAGATTTATGCCTAACTCGAGAGCTCATTCGAGATGAACAAGAAAAAACGAAAAGCGAGTGAGGCATTTGATGATGATAACTTCGATTACTTATATGGTATTGTCACAACAGGTAAATATGGCATCTTTAGTCATATTTTTTATTATTACATCGCTCAGAATTTCTAGGAAGGGATTGGCACTTTCTCCTATATAGCCCTAACCAAATTTCGCAAGGCAGTAAGTTGCCGTATACCATCGAATTCACCGAAGATGCTTTGAAAGAGGATTCCGAAGGTCACCTCGCTTTATGCAAGAGGTATTGGGTGTTATCGTGGCTTTGTTAAAGGATCGGGCCTGTGTGGAAAAATTTCCTGCCACCAAGAGAGCTAGGGTTGAGGGGTACCGTAGCAAAAAATGACTTAACAGTCAGGAGCTGTAATTTATTTTCATTAATAAAGAAATGAATTTTTCTCGCGTAATTAATCAACTCTGAGATAGCCAGTCCAATTAATAACAGCAATTCGGGTTCTCAAATTTAGTAAGGCTATCCGAACGATTTCATATAACTATCGATGCTAGAAAATGTATATAGGTAAGGGAGACGAGAAATCAAGGAGAATTTTTTTCCCAAATCCACACGCTATGGAAACTACCCATCTCCAGGTACTCGCATTGAATTTTTTGAAACAATACCAGGCTTTCTCAATGAGGAAGTCGGCATCCCGACACTAAGTAATTGCCACAAATGTAACGGGCAAATTTTTTCGGTTCTACTTCGAGCATTCACGGTACTCTCCTGTGGCCATATACTTTATCGAACTTGTATTCAGGAAATTATCATGGGAACCGAAGCAAAATGTCCGGTTTGTAAACTACGCATCGAAATTATCAAGGAGGAAGACAGCAGTGAAGTCTATCAACGAACGCACTCAAATACTATAATAATACCAGACGATCAGAGTCCACCGCCGACTGCACTCATACAAAGTCAGTAAAATCAAACCAACGATGAGCAAGGCCAAGAACCAACACCTCCAAATAAAGTATAAGGTTTGATAACAGAACTATCAAAGGTGAATCTGACGAAGCCGATGAGAATGAGATACCTAATGGATCATTATCCCAAAGTTTGGCCTGGCTATACCAAAAAGTGATCAAAGCGGAAAAACGCGTGACTTATGTATATCAAGGAGAAATTTGGTATTGGTATTACTATGCGGAAGGGTTTGAAAAACGGGTTAAAAAGAAATTATGAATGGTGACAATAGAATCGGTGATAGACAGGCAAGATCTCAGAAATGACAGTCCATCTTCCAAACATAACTAAGGACTATTTGCGAAAAAAGACTCAGAAGGCGAGAGCCATCCATACATTATTCAGTCAGATTGGTGTGAAAAAAATCAAACGAATTCAGACATATAATGCAAACACAATTTCGAATCTGACGGGCACATAAATCCAAAGTATTGTGGATAGCTTCTCATAGGAGTTTTGGTGATCGTGAATAGTTGTTAAATAGTTGTTCACGCAAACGTGACTTTGATTGTCGGATGTATATAAAACAGAACTGGTTAACTATTCTCGATAACTGTGTACAAACTTGTGAATGGACAGCGCTCAAACCTTCCCTCACTCGCTCTGTTGTATATATATACTTTCCCTGCCAATTCATTTCTCATTGGTATTCGCCGTTAATGTTCACCAACGAAGCTCTGGATGCATCCATGAAATCGGGAAAAATATGTTATGGTCGAACATATGGACTTAAATCTCAGTCTAATATTCTCTATGCTTTTAAAATGTATTTATTCTGTAATTTATTTCTGTATCAATAAAGCTGACGTAGTGAGAAACTTGATAAAAGCTAAGATGTAACTTTGAAAAAAATTCTAATAAATGTGGAAGTATATCGAGAAATAATTTCGATGTCAGGGCAGATAAATCAAAGTTCTACCCTGTACAATCCACAAATCTAAATTGAAATTATTGGGTACGCCAGGTGGAGGACCCATTGGGTTACCGAAAAAGAGTAAATTTGTGGAGATTGCTATTTGATAATTTGGCATGTTAGGTGCCGTGCAAGCAATATCACCAGGTTGTAAGAAGCCGGTAATTCTGTGATTCGGTATACTGGTATTAGCAACAAAGGCCAACAGCTCGTGATTGAGAGGTGCTGTTCCAAATGAAATTGTGATGTTTGGCACCGTGTTTGGTAAGGTTATTGTGGGTGGTGTGTTTGATGACGGGTTTGGGATTACATTATTACGTAGGTAGAGCAGAGCGAGCATTGCGGCGGTCCCATTCACCCGGCGAGGCCACACCTTTATCCCTAAATAAACTTGGATGTTGGTCCCCGCAGAAAAGTAATCTCCTGGTAGATCATGCAAACTTTGGAGAGACTCCGTTTTTCCAATCTCTAAAACCATTCTTGGATCCATTACTGTAGGTAGAACCACAGGAACCAGTAGTGGTTGAACCAGGATATCAGGGGAGTATGTGTTATTACCAACATTGAGATCCACATCGGTACTCACAAGAAGTTGACCGTGCCAATTTCTTATCATATAAATAAATTCGGCTAGTAGATGTCCGTGGACAGGGCTAGGCATATCGTATACAATAACTTTTCCGTCGACCAAACGGATAAAGACGTGAAACTTTCGTTCTTCGTTATTACGAAACTGTTGGTATCTTTCAGGTGTTACACCAGTGAAAACTACTATTGGTCTTGGAGATATACTATCTTCTGTTGAACCATCATCTGGTTGCTTTCTCTCAAATTCAAGCAAGCGGTTCCTTGCTGAATCAAATTTTTCTTTCAGATTACGCATTGGGGTGAATAAAATTTTTTTCGATCAATGGTTGATAAGGAAATAATTGTGTACTTAACTGCGTATGTGAAATTTTAGCCTCCTTCCTAATTAAATCATCACATCAGTGATCCCATCAAAATGTGTTAGCAAAAACGTTATTCACTATTTCAATTTTTTTCAACAATTTCTTGGTTATCTTCTCAATTAATTTTGTCCTTTAATCGATAATAATCCTTTGATATAATAATTCTTCTCAAAGACACATACAAAGATACTTGATATAATGTTGCTTTGATGAAGTGAACAAGCGAAGCAGTTTCACGTCATCAAATCCGATCGTAAGATCAAGTGTAACATAGAAAATTAGAAAAATTAAAAACCATGAGAAATCGTAAATGAATCGAATTTTTACTATGTCAACTAGCTTCTGGCCTCTAGATAAAAAGGTTCAGCGTGAAATATTACGTATATGGGTTATCTCTTAGAGAACGATATGAAGTAAACAAAGGTACAAATTATATCCAAATTTTTTCACGTAAATATGCAAAACTACTTCGCTTTAGCCTCTGCTCAATATTTCTTAAAAGCCAGTGTTTTTGTATATACTTTTTTCTCAAGTTCGAAAAAAGAAAAATAGTTATCTGCCTGTTAATAGTTACTAGCTAACTATATATATCTGGCTTTGAACAGGTACCGCGAAAAGGCGGGAATTCATCGAATTTTTTCATAAAATAAGTAAAATGATGTATAAAATATTTATTTTGACATTTGGAATTTTTTCATGGAAATATGTAACAGAATCGTTCTGTGGAATGCCATTCCATAAAAATTACTCAAACCTCATTGCCCAATTATCAATGTAGCATGGAAGCGTCTTACAGCTCGAAAACGCAATCCATTAACTGAAGATGAAGCAAGTAACATTAACCCGATTATTGAATCATTTTTAAAACATGAAATTGAGAGATACCAGCAAAAAAAACAGCGTCAACGCCGTGATCCTAATTCTATAACAAAATTTTTGGCTAGTCTATCTTCAGACAAAGAATACCATATAACTGAGACTTCTACTGACGTGCACAGCTCTGTTGATATGATCGAGCAAAATTCAAACTCTGTAGATTTGAAGAGCTATTGCTTTGCAACAGAATCTACCTTAAAAGATATGGAAAAATTACTAGATACAAAGTCCCCTGCTTTGCACAATAAATATCCAAGTATTACTTATACTGAGCAAGAATTCAATGCCCGTTTAAAAGAAGAGGCTGATGCATTGCATGAGAGATTTGTTAAAGCCTCAAAGCAAAAAATGCTAGAAATTAGTAACGACATATCTCGCAAATCTGCAAAATTAGGTATCGAAACAATGAAAAGCTGGATTCAAGATGGAAGTAAATATGTTCGAATTCGTGAACTTGAAATAAATGATGGAAAAGGTTATTCAGATCAAAACAATAGAGGAGCATAGTGAGCTAACTCTAATTAATTTTTTCTTTAATATTTGATACTGCTTGTGAGGAATTTATTTCTTCTTGTAAATAATGATTATCTGCCAATAAGCAATCAATTTTTTCTCGTGAACAGTGACTATCTGTCTGTGAGTAATCAATTTTTTCTCGTGAGCAGTCAATATTGCCCGTGAGCACTGATTATTTCTCTTAAAATGCTCTCGAAGTTACAAGGATACCGAAATTGTTTGTGGCATAAGTGACAAGTTCTATCTGATATATCACGATTTATTGATTTTTTTTAGCTCTGGATCATAATGTATAGTATTAAAACCTTGCTTTTGCCATCCTTCTGGAGCATGTCACTTTTCAGCAGGAGTAGATATATCAGTATCAAAATCTTGTATTGCCAAATTGCAAATACGTTCAGTTTGAATTGGCACATAAAAAGTTTCTTCATCAACAATCATTTGAAATATATCATAAAGAATGTCTATAGATCCTCCAACTTGTTTAATCCATTTTGTTCCAAGTACAATAGGATGACCCAAATTTTCGATTATTAAAAAGTCACCTGAATTAGTAACATCCAATTGGAATAGTTTTTGAATCAGCGACCTTCACTCGAAATCGTGCCTTTTGATCAATATTAAAACCAAGAGAATTAAAAAACTCTCCATCAATCATATTAACATTCGAACATGAGTCAAGAATACAATTATTAAATTTATCATCATCAATGTAACCAGATACATAAGCAACAGTAGCTTGTGGTATCTCAATTCCTTGTTCAGCAAGATTAGCAATTTGCATAGGCTCAGATGAGATGTCATCTTTTCCCATAAAAGCCTTTCGAAGTTCAACACGCATAGCAGGAGATACCATTTTAAAAAGATCCATAATATGTATTTGTGTAGTCATACCTGTAACTGCCCTATGTGCTAAAGAAGCCATATTTTGTCGTCTAACTAATCGTGCTTGTGCAAGTTCTTCCTTACTCATTTTTGGTCGTGATCGAATTTGGCTGGTTGAATCAGCTGGTTTTAAACTTTGATTTGAGGAAGTAGTGTTTTTAGAACCACGTATACTTTTTTTATAGGAGAATATCGAGAATTGGCGCGTGTATGTTTCTCAGCATTATAAGCAAAATTTTTATAATGTCTTCAGCAAAGCTAGCATGACCATAGCTATCAAAAATTATCATTTTATCATAATATTCTTCTTCAACTGCAATCTCACAATTTTCAAATTCATAGTTATTATTTTCCTCAACTTCATTATTATCTTCATCATACTCAGCAAGATTGATACTGGATCATTGAGAGACCATCTAGAAGTCATGTCACTTAGCATTTCAGAATTTTGTTTTTGTTGCGCTTTAGTAAATCTTTTTGGCTTGGGAGTAACTTGAGGTTTATTGGATAAACGAGCTTTGATTTAAAATAATTATCACGAGCTTTGAAAAATTCATCAAAGTCAGAATAACCAGCATCTTGTATAAGTTTTAATTGATTATAGGCAAGAATTTCTTCTGTATTTTTGGTAGTACTTTGGGTGCAATCTTTTTTGGTCTGGCTCGAGATATTGGATTTCCTTCCTCGTCTATAGTAAAGGACGAGGTGCAGATATAGAATTTTGTCCTTGCCAGCTTTGTTAAACTGGTTGGGAGGATATTACTGGAGCTTGATTATAAACTGGCGTTGGTTGCTGTATTACTTGTTGAAATGCATTACTTTGACTAAATGTATATGCTTCAAGCTCTGACAAATTTTTAAGTTGATTATCCATTGACTGGAAAATATATCACTGAACGAAGAGTACATTGATTCATTGGTGATAATCCGCTTAACCATTGCTCACGAATTTGTTCGGGAGTCATTCTAGCAATATTGCCAATTTTTCATAACTTTGATGCAAATTGTTGAACTGACATAGTTCCTTGTACAATTGTATCAAACATAGCAGATTATTTTAATGCATTAGTCGTTGTATAGTTATATTGAAGCTCATATAATTTTTGACCAATTTTCATACCAGGAAGCACAACAGAAGCACCTGCACCACCATTAGCATTTGGAGTTACAACTGCTGTTCCAGCTGGAGCGGGATGTCCTCCAGCAATTGACCAATCTTCATCCCAAACACCAGCAGGAATTATACTAGCTCCTGTAATTGTATTATCACCATTAGCATTGTTTCTTAATTTTAAAGCTTCTCCATGAAATTGATCTGCATTAATACCTGTTAAATCACCATTGTTTAATGCCCAAAAAGCTGTTATATTTGCTACTCCTGTATTATCAAGAATATTGTCAAGTTGTTAATTTCGGTCTTTGATTTCATTTATATACCAGATTTTAGCAAGCATCACCAGTCAAACATGTTTCATATAAACCATCTACTTCAGCTCTTCCAGCAGCCTGTCCTGCTCCAGGTGCTACATTTATTCGACTAGCTAGTACATATCTTTTCAAATTATTTATAACATCTTCTGGATCTTCTCCAGGTGCACCTCTAAATATGGGTGGTGGATATCCTATCATAGTTGTTATATTGTTTTGATAAGGGTTATTATTCTGTAGCGCAAATATTTGCTGATTCAAATTATTTATTAATTGCCGGTTGGCGATATTTTGGGTTTGTTCATTATCTAACTCTCCATATAATCGATCTAGATGGTGGTCAACAAGAAATAGATCATTTTCTCGTGTCTTACACTTTCTTTTCCATTTTTTGTAACGTTGTCTTATAAGATTAAAGAGATGTATTGTTATTGCTTCATCTATCTTATAATTTTGTAATCGCTGTTGAGACTGCCTGTTTATGAGTTGCAATGCAAATTTTTCTCGCAATAATTAACCAATGCGCCTATCTCGTTGATGGCAAGTAGCTCTCCAATAAAGATAACTACTTTTACAATAAACCCAAGCATTATTAGCCTGTGTCCATTCAGTCTGCCAATAGTCCCGTTCTTGAGTAAGCTGGTTAACATTATTTTGTGAAATAATATTTTGCTGTCTATAATGATTAACATCTTGTTGTAGCTGGACTATCTGCTTATCTCTATTATCTCGTAGATTTGTAATATCATCTAAATCCTGGTCTATTCTTTGACAATTAGCCCGAATAGTATTTAAAGTACCATACATACCTTGGACAATATTGGCCGGATTGTTTAATGGTGTACCATATCCTCTGAAATGGATTTCAAGTCGATTTAGCCCTCTTGTGATATTTGTAAAGGGATCTGTATGTGCCATATCTGTATCAGGAGAATCTCTTCGTGAGTGGATTTGCTCAATTCTATACTTCAAACTAGATATAATTTCACCACATTCTTGTAACTGCTTTTCGATCTTGGCTATATGAGAATCTTTATCTCGAGATTCTTTTTTAACTATATAGAGTAATTTTTTTAGAGTTGAAATTTCAGTCTTAAGCTCCTCAATTTCCTGATTGAAGATAATATCTCAAGATCTTTTCGAGTAATCTCTTTCTCGCAATTAGCAAGGTCTCGTTCTAACTGTTTAATCCATTTTTCATTAGCCTTGCTATTCGAAATCTCATTAGAGAGTTCATCTCTCAAAATCTGATTTGCTTGTTATAACTCTAATGCACGATCAGAGGTCAGTTCATGAAAATTTCGATTGGGTCGAGGTCTTTGAAACCTTTTATTTTGTTAATATTAAACATGGCATTTTGTGGTATTGCTGAATTAGAACCGATTATAGAGATTGATACGTCTAAGGCCAAGAAGGCCAAACGAGAAATGGTCTTGCAAAAATTATACTACACTCCTGTTGCTTATTACAAAAATACGAAACTTTTAAGAGAGGATGCTAGAGAACATGGATATAATTTTTCTTTACGGGATGTGAATGAATGGTTGCATAAGCAAGCTATTTTTCAATGTTATATATCAGCCCCAAAATACATTCCTTATCTAGGTTTTAATAAAATTACTGTTCCCAATGAAGTACATATGGCTGATCTATGTGAAGTACCACCAGGTAAATTTGAAATAATACCTTTCCTTATATGCTGTGTATTATAGATGTCGCTCTTCTTTTGGATGGACAATACTTTTGACCAATAAATCATCGGTATAAGTTGCAGAAGCTTTTATTTTAATTTACGATTCTCAAGATTGCTCTCTTGTATGGCCTAAACTATTGATCACAGATAAAGGTACGGAATTTCTTGGAAGTTGTAATGAATTGATGGAAAAACACGGAGTCAGGAGGCAAATAGCAAAATCTAAAAATGGTTTGTCATATTGCAATCGAATTATGCGTACAGTAGAAGAAAAATATATTCCTTTACAGTATGCTCAAGAAATGTTATTGCCTTTGTCCGAAAGATCTCGTGTATTAATTAAAATTCTTAACCAGATTCTTATAAAAATTGCTAATACCAAAAATCGAATAACAGGTATTGCTCCAGCTCAAGGAATAAATCAGAAACATGTATATAAAAAATCTGTGTTAATTCATCGTCCTATGGGCTTGGGGGAAGCGGTTAACATATAATGATTCTGTTCGATATCTTTTAAAACTTGGTGAATTGGAAGTTGGCCCTCCTATACATAGAGCTGATGATTAGGTATGGAGTCCTTATGTCTATCGAATTGGTGAATCTCTTATACAGAAAAATCAGCCAATATTATATAAATTAATAGATGGACCAGAGCGTCGGTTTGTGAGAGAACAATTGCAAATCATTCCACCGGATATTATGCACCCTCCCAAATATATTTTGAATAAGATAAATAGTTGTAATAAATAATTCGGCATGAGATGTTAAAATAATTAATAAAAAAATTATATCTTATATCATGCTCACATAATTGCTAATGTTCCGATTTCATTGTGTGAGTCAGACTCGATGATTCCGATTGCATTCAAGACAGACAAGACGTACATTCCCTTCAATGTGGCATCAACCGACCATTGACCAGGATTTCCAGCTTCATTCCATTCCCACAACATTTCATTGAGAAATAATTCACATGTATTTTTTTGCGAATCTTTTAATGCAAGAATATTATCAACAGATAAGTTAAATTCATGACCTTTTTCTTATCTTGATCCATATATCCTATGAGTTTTCCAGAAATAAATGAACTTAAAGATCGCTCAATTGCTTTCTTATTTTTTGCTTCCTCAATCTCAGGAGGCAATGGGGGACCTTCAATTCGCACAAGTTGATTCAAATATTCTACACGACCTACTGTAAGATATATTAGATTATCCCACACCAAATATTCATCGATAATCCAAACTCGTTGTAGAGCTTCAAGCGTCATCCTTTGACTAGTATGCACAGTCATAGCATACCCCAAATCCCAATCAATTATTTTTTCTTCACTTAATATATCTTTTATAAATTTTTCAGGAAGCGTATTCAACGGTAAATATACTATATTATTTTTTACTAGTTCTTGTTTCTCGGATGAACCGGGAATTGAGATGAGGTAATTTTGTTTACATCCATCTCTTGGCCTATATATTAATGGAACTGATAGATCTGGATATTTAATATGACGGAGTTCAAGGTATTTTTGCGATGCAATTCTTCGAGATAGGCAATGTACCGATAATATATGATCTGAGGGAGTCCATTCCCTTTTCAAGATGTTTCTATTTTTCTATAGTTAGGAGAATTCCTCGAAAATTCGATTATTTTTATGATATATATCTTTTTTGAGTTCACGTAATTTGGGACATTTTGCGTAATAATCAGTTAAAACCTCTTCATAATAATTAGCATACTTTTTTAACCAATTGTGTGGTATTTCTCCAAAAAATAGCGAAGATTATGCATCATCACCGCAACAAATTACCTGGCATTTATGTTCTAACAAATAATTAATGAACATTTCAAGAATATGCTTAGGAACTATACATACCTCATCTCAAATAAAACTTGTAGAAATTTCTTCTCTCCTATGCGTTCAGATGTTCATTCTCTTACACCATTCCATCTAAAGAAGTTATGTCAGGTTTGGGCCCTTACATTACACTTATCTCGAAAATCTTTAACCAATGCATTCATATATGTAAAGATAATTATACTTACACTTTGATAGACTCAAATTCCATGTGTTATTTTACCAGATCCACCTCCTCCATTGAGATATGAATTTTGATATCTTACAATAGGATTATGAATCAAGGATGCCGTACTATCAGGAACATTTTTGATCAATTTCCAATATCTATTCTTTGATCAGTATATAATATCAGTGACTGGTCCATATATTTTTCACTCTTATCACATCATTGATCAGTTGGATTTCTCAGATTTCTAATTCTGATTCTTCTTTTTAATGTGAAGGAGTATAAGAGTTTGAATTATAGAACCAATCCCAAAAGCAACCGTGACATACAAATGATTGATGCTTTGTCTTTGTGCATTTGTAATCTGTCTGAGGCATTTTAGTTTTCCGAAACTCTTTAATTCATTTTCTATATTCTGAAATAGATAAATACATTGAATCACTACACATTGCACAAGAGGAATAAGTATGTAAGCATGAATTCAGAGCTTTTAAATTATTCTTTTCTGACTTGATTTTCTTGAAGAATACAGATATATTTTCGATCTTATATAAAGCCTCTTTTCATATATATAAAGAATCTGTCGCAATTCTCACTACTTCATATAGGTCAAATTTTTGAAGTATTTCGAGTAAATTAATATGAGTATAGATCAATATTGAAGCTTGCAATAAGTATATTGAGATTGATGTCCTTTATAGTATATAAGTATAAATCAAGTGGATATTTCTCTCTACTTGCAAAAGTTCTAGCATCAGTATAATCTTTAATCAAGAAATCCAGCTCTTCTTCATTTGTTATAAGTTAATAAGTAAGTCATTTTTTCATTTAACTTATCTTGTGTAAACTTATCTATAAACATATAATTAATATCATGATTTTTAGATAATCATATCTTTATTTATTTTATAAGAGTGATAATTGCTTCTCTAATAGTTAAGTTTTCTAAAATATCAATCTTAAGAAGATATTATAAAAATATAATAGATACTTAATCTTTACTTTTCATATATTCTTTTCCTTTTTAATATATAAAATACTTTTCATATTAAACTGAAATTACTAGATAAATATTAGAAACAAACTTAAAGAAACTTATCTATATACACTCCCCTGCCAAAATTTTATGATCACCCATGTCAATCAATTAGTAAAACATATGAAAAATCTATTTTTTCAAAAGTCTGTATTGGCATTATTTACTAAGTAAACAACAAAAAATTTTATATCATTATGAAGCTAATTGACTGTAGTTTTTGAAAAAAACACTTATAAATCTGAACAAGTTGTTGTAATGGGGCTGTTATCCATCAAAGTGTTAGCATATATATTACACATATAAAAATGTATGTGTAATATATTCTCATCACTTCAGCAAATTACAACTTTGTTATGATAAGCTGTGTAGATTTATGAGTGCTTTTTTCAAAAACTATAGTCAATTAGCTTCATAATAATATAAAATTTTTTGTTGTTTACTTAGTAAATAACGTCAATACAGACTTTTGAAAAAATAGATTTTTCATATGTTTTACTAATTGATTGACATGAATGGTCATAAAATTTTGACAGGGAAGTGTAAATCTAGTAATAATATCTTTTAATAACTCTCTATTTACTGCTATTTTAACAAGATAATATGTTAAATATCCCAATTTTTCAAATTATAATACATATTTTTTCTAATCTAATATACTTCTTACTGAATAATATTCTTTTATATTAATATATATAATATCATTAATATAATAATTAGATATATTTCAGTATTTATTATATTTATATTTAATACAGATTTATTTTATAATAATATTTATTTTTCTAAATATTAAATATCACTTATTAATCTTATTAGCTAATTAACTTCTAGTATGATTTACTTCAAATACTTATTTTACTAAATTAATTATTTTGAGAAATTCTAAAAGAATCAATTATTTTTTTTTTACTAATTATTCCTATCTGATACTGTTAATTTATTATATTTTTAATTAATTACTTATATACTTCTATAATTTCTATATATTTTTTTATATTCTAAATATATAATCATTTTTCAAAATAAACTGAGATATTATTTAATTTATATCTTTTATTTATATAGGTCAGATTACTTGAAAATCTTTAAAAGTATTATTTATAGCTTCTTATATATTATCTTTATAATATTTAACTATTTAATCTCTTAAAAAGTACTGATTTTAAGAAAATATATAACTATTATGAACTATTATTCCAATTTTTTTATATTTATCTGATTAATACATCTTATTATTGAATATAATATTATAAATTATATCAAGTAATTTAATTAGTTATTTAATAATTTTTTTAATTCTGGAATATTTTATATCTAAGTATTAAAAATTTCTATATATTGATTTTTTTTAATAAATATTTGTGAGTTTATACTTTTTCTTGGCTTAATTAAAATATTCTATTACTTATTAAGCTATATAATTAAGTATTTCATTTTTCATAAATATTAATTATTTGATTTTCAGATTTAATATAATTTATAAATTATTATATTATTATTAAGATTATTTATTTTAAATTAATCTTTAAGATTTCTAACCAGAAACTTCTTATTTATTCTTATTTAAAAATCTAATTTTATTTTCTTTATAAGTATAATATTTTGTTTATCCTAAATATATTTACTATCTGTTATTTTAATTCATGAATAGACTTATATTTATTTTTAATTTTAAAGTTTATTTATATTTTTCTATCTGAAAATATTATCATATTAGCTTAAATAAATTTTATTCTTATTAAGAACTTATTATTATTAATTATATTTAAAATTTCTCAGACTTATTCTTTAGATATTTCAGCTTTAATTTTATTTAATATTTTATATATTTTAACTATCTATCATCTTTTTTATTTAATATTTTATAAAATTCTATTTTCAATTTTATAATTTTATTAATTTTTTTTCTAAATAATTTTAAAATAGATATTATAAAAATATTTTCTATATAACTTCATCTTTATTTTCTATTTCTAATATTATACTAATCAAATTAAACTTTTTAGCTTTTGTAAATCAGATTGAGAAAGCATATTTGATTTTATCTATCTTGAATATATTTTTTACAGTTTGAATTTTATTTTGCTATATTATATGATATATTTTATTATGTAAAAATAAAATTGGTCAAGATATTTCTATATTTAAATCTAGAGATCTATCTTTATAATTAAGTAATTCTTAAACAGATTATAATTGTAATAATTTTAATTAGATTATCTCTCTTTAGCTCAAATCTTTATTTTACATTATCTATATAATAAATTAACTTTTATATTACTTTTTATAAAGATCAATTTCATTTTGAATATACAAATAATTATTTATATATTTAATATATTAGATTTAACACATTATTATATAAATGATCACTATGTATATTCTTATTATTAATTTAGTTAATTAATATTTTTAATTAGATTTCTTTTTAATTATTCTTTTATAATTTTACTTATTCTTATTTATTATTTATATTATTATTTATCATATTTATAATTATTAAATTATAATTAGTTATTTTTTAGAAATACAAATTAAGTTAATATAAATTATATATTTAATAATAAATAATTAAAATATTAATTTTATTTTTATACTTAAAATATTAATTTAATT